AGGAGGAGGAGGGGAGGAGGAGTCCCCAAAGCTGTGTTCCCCAAATTTTCCCCAATCCCCCTAATATCCATTTTTTGTCCCTATTCCCCCTTTTCCCCATGTCTCCAAGCCCCCAATGTCCCAATGTTCCAATGTCCCCCAAAAGCTTGCTTAATGCCCTAATTCCCCAAGTCCCCAATGTCTCCAAATTTTCCCAAAGCGTGCCCCAATGTTCCTGTCTCCAATGTCTCCTGTTTTTTGTTTTTTTCGAAAAAGTAAGGTGCGGGGACTTTGGAGACATTCCCCCCCCCCCCCCCTTATAGTAAATTTTTAAAAGCTGGTTTGGATTTCGGAAAATTTATAATTTTTATTTAAAAATTTTTAAATTTACATATCGTTTTAACTAAATCAAGTTAATCCTGTTTTCAAGAATGGCGGCTTGGCGGCCATTAGACTTGTCAAAAAATTGAATTTTAAATAAAATGTGAATGTATAAAAAAATTAAAACTTTCAAAAGGGAGGCTTATAAATTTTATTATATTATGTTTTAAAATAAAGGAAAAAAATTTTAAATTTGTTTCACAAAATTTGTTTCACTAATTTTTTTTAAAAATTTACACTATGGGTTGAGGTTTTTTGCTAGTAAATATGGTTACTACCCCTTATATATTTTATTGTTTGGGGTTTTCGATTTTGATTTTTTCCCCTAGGAATATGATTATTAATCTCTTTTGGGCTTTAGGTAGGGGCCCCTAAAAGAACTGGATTCTTCCGGAAGATCCGTGCAAAGGGCTTGGTCTACATTTTATTAAATTTTAAACCTTCATTCTGTATGTGCACGAAAATTTTTTAAATCAAATTGCAAGAAAATCCACTATACTTTTTAAAATTCGGTTTTTAATCCATAATCTTTTTGGCCGACCAAACGAAAAGTCTTTTGTTTTGGGGTTGCAAAATCTAAAATACCCTTTTCTGATACAAAAAAATTTTAAAGTTTAAATTAGATTTTTAAGAATAATGACATAACATTCCTTTTAAAAAATTCTTTTGTTTTCCTCATTCAAACTTAAAACTTCAAGCCTTCGTCATTAAAAAAACAAAAAAATTCAATAACTAAATAATTGTCATAATTTTTTTAATGTTAAAAGATCTCTGTATCGGATATTCCGGTTGGGAAGAGAAAAGGAAAAGGAAAAAAGGGGAAGTTGGGAGTAAGGGAAATTTTTGGGCGTAAACCCCATTTTTCAGGCCAATTATTTTTATATAGTATGTTGAAAGTTTAAAACTTTTTAATTTTTAAAACTTTTTTTACTTTCAACACTATATATAAAAAAATAATTTGAGCCCGAAGATGGCGTTGACGCCAAATTTGCCCTCCCAACTTCCCTTTTTTCCTTTTCCTTGTCTCTTCCAAACCCGGGTAATTTTCCAGATATCAGTATTTCTCTGAGCTAATAAACAGGAAAACTCCGTTATTTTTTAAAGAGTTCTTTAAAAGCTAACGGGGGGTTAAAAAAAAAAAGCGAGGGTGCAATACACGTAATAATGATTAACAGAGTTCATGAAAGGTGTAAAAATATATTTGGAAAAAGTGAAAATTTTGAAGACGAATTTTGGTTTTCAAAAAAAAAGGACAGACATTTGGCAATTTTCTCATGAGTATTAATCCCTTTTGCAGTTTTCAATACAAAGCGAGTAAAAACTTTATTGCCCATTTAGAAATAAACATTAATTGAGCAGACTAATATATGGTTAATTGTTCTGTCATCTATAACATAGAAGACAGAAAAACCCCGGACTTTGGTTGCTTCTATAAGAAGGCCCCCATATCCCCAAAACCCCGGAAACTTCTTTGGCTATTAACCCACAAATCAGTTCACGGGACTAAACCCGGTTTCCTCAACATTACTGATATGGATGTTGTGGAACAGAACTTTCAAAAACCCTGACCGGTGAAGAGACCCAAATGACCATCTCATGCTCAAGATAACAAAAGAAAAAAAAGTCAAAAAATTGATGACAGGGGCGTTTTGGGGGCCCGCACCGGTTGAGGAAATTTCTTCCCCTGTTTGATTGTATTTTCTGATACCCAAGTTGAGCGAATGTTTTAAATTTACGATGTCAATTCATCGCAGCTCGGGAAAAGAACGCAAAGGCTGGACAAAAAATTGACGGATGTTATCGTTAAATTTTTTCGAAGTAGCGGCGCCCCTTTTTTTTCCGAAAAAAATTTTTGCCCCATGGCAAGTGCTTACAAAAACCCGGCGCCGGCGAGTTTTGGCTCGTCGACGAACAGGTATTTTTAAATATACCCCCTTTAAGAAGTAGGCCGCCAGGCCAGACCCTAACAATGACAAAGGGCAAACAAAGAACCAAAATTTTTTGGCTTAGATTTTTTATCGTTGCTTCATTTTAAAGTTTTATTTTTACCCCCTTTTATCGACTTTTCCTTCGCGCGCCGCGCAAACTAAACCTTCTAAAATTTTTTTCTTTTTTTTATTTTTTCCCGTATACTAACTTTTTTCAAAAATTATATTTTCCCAAACACATATATTTTTTTTATTTGGGGCAGGTTATATCCCCGCCGAAACAAATTCCCCAAAATTTTTTTTTTGGGGCCATTGTGGTAATTCTTTTAAACTTTGGGGGGTGGAAATTTTAGTTTGCAAAATATTTAGGTTAATAATACACTTAAGATTAACCCCTGGAATCTTTGAAAGAAATAACAAGCCAAAAACGTACGACGTTTCAGTATTTTTGGTCGCAGAACGCCAAATTAGCATGGGGGAAGATACAGTTAAATGCAAAGGGACAACACCAAAACCCAACCCACTCATCTCCCCAAAAACAACCTATCCTGTGGCCAGTCCCTCATCCTGCACTTTACCCCAGAGGCCAAGGGCCCTCGGAGCCAAATTTCGAGAAACGGGAAGCTTGTACCGGGCCCAAAGGGCTGATCACTAGCAGCGAAGTACGGATATACCCCCCTTTTTCATCTTTTTAACCGGCACCCGGAAACCCCACCTGTTTCTTAAAATAAATTCCATTAATCGGCTTCTGCATCACTGGCACACAAGTGGCGCCCTGTGTAGACTCAAACCCGAGCTTGATCAGAAACTTCAGTCACAAACCTGACACCGTTTCGGGGCTTCATTGCGATACGTTTTCTGTCAGGTGCCCCAGCACTCAGCAGTCTCTCTTGGACCACCATCTGATCTGACAATCACCCGAGGATACCTGCTAGAGCTCGCGATTTACGACGAGTTAGCTTATGGCACCTTTGGCTGTTAGGTGAAGTCATAAAGCTCAAACAGCTCTCATCTCCCACTCTCTTTTCCTAGACAGCAGATAAATCCATCTTGAACAATGGGCTGCATCCTTCCCACAATCTCTGACCACTTCTTGAGGGCTCTTCCCAGTCAGACCAATCCTTCCTTGATGCACACTCCAAACTTGCCTGCGACCACACCTCTAGCCCAACCTCAACAGCAAAGCTGAAACATGGACCACCCCATTAGCTTGTATTTCCGCTTGTAGACTGTTATACCGATCAAGCTTCAGTCTACAAGCGGAATGATGCAGCTATTCTCTCTTCCGACGGTACTGTAAGCTCCCACCAGATTACTCTCTTGGAAGCTTTCGAGAAAAGAACCAAATCTGGTCTTAATCTGGTCGTTGCTATATCCGACGGGAATTTCAGCTGCTTATCCAGGTCTGCTAATACTATCCAATCAGTGGCTCCACTCAGAATCCCAAACTCACGTCTACATTTCTTCGAAGTAGCGCGCGCCGCTTTCTTCTCGAAATGTTATGACGTACGTGCTACGAAGTAGCGCGCGCCGGGCCAGACCATTAACAATGGTCAAGCGCGATGTCAACCCTTCGCAGCTCGGCATTGCCCAGTATAACAGTACATTTTGCCGATCTACTAAGAGTCACAGTGGTTGCGAGAAATATTATTTGCTTGATTTACAATGTCAATCCGTCGAGATCGTTGCTAGCAAGAATGCCAGTTTGTAGTTTGCGCGGCGCGTCGAAGCGGCGAAGTCTTCCAAATTATTTGCATACAATTGCAATTTGATGCGCACAGCGCGGTCCAGTAGTGCATTGCGCTATATACTGGGCACTTGTAGCGCGATGCGTTACTGTGCCGCGCCGCGCACTCAATGAGGCTTCTCACAGCGATCGGCGAGATGCGCTACTGTGCCGCGCCGAGCTGCGATAAATTGACATCGTCAATTAAACTGGGCACGTATAAGCTAAGCGCGCTCCGGCCGGCATTACAGTCCATCAATAATGGAGAATTAAAGCATGAAGTACAATGTAGATGTTGTTGCAATTGCATGTTGTTTGTAGGTTTATAACCTACCAGGACGCGGCGCGCGCCGAGTTGGACTCGTCGACGGTCGGAAAAAATATTTTACGAGTATCACCCGTTAACATGTTGCTGTTGCACACGCTCGAGAGATCTCTAAATCTAATATATAGGGCGCTTAAAATTGTTTTACTTCACGATCAGCTTTACCTAATTTTTGCGAAGACAGAAGAGCCACGAATGACGAATGATTTAACAAAAATTAGGTTCGCGACTTGAGCAGTGAGGCAAAGCTGTGTATGTGTCAGGTCAGGCAACGTTTGCTACACGTTGTATACGATACCTCTCTCGTGCACTCCGGCCGGTCGCCGCGCGCGATCAAAAGGGGTTGCAGCGTGGGTCAAGGCAACGTCTGGAAATGTCGCTTTTCATCCGTGGATTAGTGTTGTATCACGTCGTGACCCCCATTGTCGTTTCACTAAGTGGCGAAAGCCACGATACAGCCGCGCACTCGTGCGCGGCGGGTCTACAACGTGTGACAACAGACAAGATTAGTGCACTTCAATTGATTTCAAATTTTATAGGACCTCAAAGCCTCCTCCCGCTTTATATGATAAGATTGTGCGACAAAAAGAAAATAGCTGTTATTACAATAAAGAAATAGAACTAGAAGAGAAGAAGTGTTTACCTGAATAAATACCCACACTCTCATAATATTTACAAACATTATACTTCAGGAGGTTCATAAGAATAACTGATAAGAGAAATGTTCATGTTATATTTACAGCGTATGAAAATCCAAATTTATTAACAAATGCAACAGAATATTCATGTTTTTTAAATGACAGGCGGCTTCATCTACTATATTTAATTACAAAATTATCTTACATTAACAATTACACATTTGGTATCTGTAATCATACATGAAGTTACAAAAAACTGATCATATCATTGATTCTAAGCTTGTACGAAAGTTCAACTCACATCAAAATTTATGACTAATTCAAAGAGCGAAACAGAACTTTAAATTCAGTAGGGTCCTAGTAGCTTATCTTCATGCAATTCGTGTTCAGATAATCAAGAAAAGCAGAGGAGATGAAGGCAGATAATGTTTACTCGTTGATCAAATAGTTGTTTCAAATATGGTAGAAATTATGATTGATGTTTCAAATAGAGTAAGTAATATTAGTAATATGTACATGGTTGATTGGCTAATCCACAATCTATTCTGATCGGATAGCTGACTGGTTGACGAAGTTGGAGTGGGCAAACGAGGGTTTCATTTCTGCGGTTGCAGAATAGGAAGAGAAGAAATCTGCTGCAAATTCGATCACATCACTAGGCTTTCTCATCAACAGGAACTGAAAGTGAACCTCAGTTTAGATAACAATCTCGATTAGATAAGAAACAGGGACGTAGCCAGGATTTTTCTTTGAGGGGGGCTGTCGGCAAGCGGAGCGAGTCGACGCGTCCAATCAAGCTGCGCAGCGAGCGAAGCGAGCAAGCTGTGGCAGGGGTCTGGCGGCGCAGCCCCCAGCGGGGGGGTCCAGGGGCGGAGCCCCTTGGCGGGGGCTAGGGGGGGCGCAGCCCCCTTGGAAATTTTTTGCGAAACAGGGTGTTTTAGACGACATTTGGCATTAAAGAAATTTGTAGGACAGCAATAAACTGGGATTGAAAAGAATCAAGTACTCACGTAAATTTGGTAACTTCACAACAGCAATCTGCATTCTCCAATCAGGAATTTACGACTTACTCAGGCCTCATCGTCTTAAGAATTTTTACATTTCCTACGTCTAGGGGACACTATTGACGTATAATTATAGAAGTCTTCTAGAATGTTTGCTTGGATTTAATGACATATATTTACTAATCCACAGTTCAAATCTTTGACTGACTGCAGTCATAAACACAGCCCAGTTACCAGGCGACCATGGGGACTAGGGGGCTTATCTTTTTACTGGGGTTCGATTTTTTCCGGGGGGGGGGGGGGGGGGGGGGGGGGCTGCCGCCCCCCTAGCCCCCCCTGGCTACGTGCCTGATAAGAAACATATTAGAATTACTCATTAAAAGCTAATTTGGAAGCAGTTACTGCAGATTTCTACCGTTTTAAAAACCTTTTTTGTCATCTACAGCTTTTAGTTGTTGAGACACTAATACACCAATAATCTCAAGGATAGTGACTGTAACTTGTAAGTTTGGTTCTAATAAAATAAATCAACAAAGCTTTTAGTTTTTGGTTCGTTTACTTAACATCCAGTTTCCTTCCTACCCAGTACCTGTAAAAAATCTCCGAGGATGGCCTTGAGCTCAGGATGTCTCTTCATGTAGTTGACATGGTCCTCCTTCAACTCTTCCTTTCTGTCCAGAAAGTGTGACAAACATCTCAATATCATCCTCCCCAGTGCAGCTTTCCTTTTCCGAAATCAGGGAATACCCAATCAGCGTCTAGTGAAAGAGAGGGGGTTACAACTAAAGAACAAATCGATGTAATCTCATTTCATCCTGACTCATAATTTAATTGACGTTTGGCAACTTTCCAAAAAGTTCGAAAATCTTGGATCCGGTTTTTGACGATTTTTAAAGGGCTGTACATTTTAGGGCGGTCAAGATCTAATTAAAATTTACCTTCATTAGATGCTGCAACCATCTTAAATATTAGGTAACATGATAAGCGAAGGATAAATCTATTTCGTGGTCTCAACTTAAAGTTTGGTATCCTTAGTAAGGATGTAGGATTCCTTACCTTCATCTTTCATGAAGTTCTCTGGGATATCTTTAATCTTCATGTACACTGGTGACCCGACTTGAGCGCGGGTATACATGTGGCTGAAATGGAAGGTTGAAAATCTTGGGAAATATTCGTACAACCCTCTAGCGCTCGCCGCTCACGTAATTTTCGACCAAATAAAGTCAGATAAGGTGCATTATATTAAGTTTTAGGAAATGCACCGGACCGAATGTCATTTAATATTTCCGTACGCCATAGTTGGTTTTAATCACTAACAAATAGATTAAAAAACATATAAACAAGTTAAACTGATACTATTAATTATTTTGGATTGTGGAAATTTTAATACTAAAGTAAACAAATTAAACAGGCAAGCATCAATAGTGCAAGGTTGGAGATTTCTAGAATTGAGAAAAATAACAAAATAACCGCGTTGATATTTAACATGATGAGGTGGTTGATTTGAGGTTGGTGGAGCACTGACTTAAATTGAGTCGTGTTTAGTTGACTAAACTCTAAACTACTTTCACGTGTGAAAATAACGAGTATCTTGTTCTTGGCAGATGTGCATTAGAGCAAGAAAGTAATTCAAGTAGTTTCAATTAAAGTAGTTTTAATCAAATCACATACAGAACGGTCAATCTCCCGCGTATAATTTCGGTTTTGGTAAATTGTAGTGATATGGTTAGACAGAAGCTTGGGTGTCGAGCTGCAAGCCAAGGCCAGGGCAGGTATTACAAATTAAAAATATGATTTACCCGTCAGAGAGGAAGTATATTTTCCAAGTGGTTGGATTCTCGTCTTTATTATCCACACATCGCTCAATTCCAATGGTTTCCAGAGTAACGTTCTGTAACAACACTGAGTGGGACTCTATAGGGGACTGTGGGGGTTTAAGAGTGTTAGAACTTAGAGTGGAAGTCTTCAGATGTGTAAATGTAATAGAGTGGTTATCAAGGCTGAATTAGAATGGAAAATATTACAGTGATATCTTCAGTGGGATTAGTCTTATAGGAATAATAGTAAACTAGTATCCATGCAGCAGTGATTATTTAGCTAGAACTTACAATATTTTAGACAATCGTAAAAATAGTGCAAAATGCTCGACTACGAGTGGGAGCATTACGTAATTTATTCAAAAAGTGCAGGTTGGTAATTCTCAATGCTAATGATCGATTTAAGTTCGCCAGTCTGCGCGTTTCGTATGTAACGTAATTCTGATGCCTCTCAAACTTGATGACTGGTGTCATTGTATCTTTGTTCCACAGTGTTTTGTCTGGTATAAAGAATGAACACCCTCAGAGCCCCACTCTATATAGGAGCCGTTCCTTGGGTTTCACTCACAGGTACATTAACAATAGCACACTGTATAGTCTATGTTTATGCATGTTCACCAACATTGTTGCGTTATTACTTCAGGCAACAATCTGACGTCTAATTCACTCTAATTGTAAGGGTGCTGGAGAAGGCCCAAAAAGAGGTCTCGTAGACTTCTGGGAACAATGGTCTACTAGTGCAGTGGTAACAGTAAACCAATCTTGTTAATCATACTAGCCGCGACGACAGGTCAATTAGAAGTCAATTAGAGGTTCATTTCTACCTCTGTTCATGGTAGTATCAGCTGTTATTATAGTCGATTGTATTGATAGTTCGGCAAAAACTTTCGTATTGATTTATCAATATTAAGTTGCCATTGACAAGGATATTGTTGATGTTAGTTTTAAAATCTGTGTATTTATCATGCAAAATGAGTTACGCAGCGGTTAATCTAAACTTGAAAATAATTGTGTGGTAGTTTAAAGAAGATTACTCACGTAGCTGACATTAGCAAGGGCATTATCCGTGGAGAAGACGTTAAAGCTCATACGACTATGTACTCCGAGTATAATACTCAACCTCTGTAGCACCAAGTTAGCACCTGGGAGGGAAGTTCATTGTAAATATAAAAACTTGCTATTGGGCGGTCAGTGTTAAACCGCCGATTATTTGAAAAAACAAGCCTTGATTGAGTGGCGGCGCTGTGATCGACGCGGTGTCACATATCTCAAGACGGCATCAGTGAACCCAAGTTGTTACGATGGACCAATGACCATGGTTGAATGTAACAACGTATACTCTTGGAAGGCGAGAGTCGAAAGATTGAACAGTCAGACTAACCTTCAGATATAAACCTTGCCATCTCGTCTTTAGTAAACTCCTCGGTGGTGACCGTTTCAGTGCCACCCTCCGTCGTGGTGAGAACCAGCTGGTATCCGTCATCAGTCTGGCTCAACACGGACCTCTTGGTTAGAGGGTTACCTGGGATCTGGGGGGAAGAGTTACGTGATGTAGGGTAATAGTCATTAATTATAAATAACACATAATCTGTATACGTATATTAATATATTAATATATTGATTCCAGAAAATATTTCAATGGTTGTGAGAAAATTAAACGCCTGGTTAACTTTAAGTGAGGAAAGTTTACGGTTGTTGCAATTTCTTTACAAAATTTCTGACTCCTGCACTGTTCTCAGCTAAAACAGAATCAAATTGAAATATATTGAACTATTAAGGTGGAATTCAAGGGTCAAATAGTGCGGAGCTGTTTCTGGCTTCTGCCCTATTTTTATATCGACATATGATTCGACGACATCTTTAAAAACTCTGCAACTATTACTTCCCAGTCAGTTTTATAACTAATCAAAATATAAATTTGGTTTTATTAAACGATTTACAGTGATCGCAGGGTACTTGAGACACTGTCGCAGGTTGCCATAAATTGAATATTACAGACTAACTGCTAAACTAGCCTGCTTATTTGGTGCTGACAAGAATGCCAATAAATCAATCACAAGGTTTTAAAGGGTTTCACTACAAACTATCGTATCAAATATATGTTCGTATCAAATTCTACGTTAATCGTTCATTTAAAATTTAGTAATTATAGGCCTCAATTTCTAGCAAACGACCCCTAAACTGTGGGTAAATACATCAAATAAGAATCTTATAATAATTGAATGAGAGGTTTTTGTCAAGTTACTTCCCATATCATCATCCGCGTTCAAACGATATAATAAAATAATAAACATTTCCCTTGCGAGACAGTAATGACAATTACGATTAACACGGTTGAGACATCTTAACCACATGAAGTAAAATATTGGGAATGCTAAGCTACACTTCGTGTGGCATTGCATTTAAAATTAATAAATGGTCTCTGGCTAAAACCTTCTTGCCAGTGAGCCACGTATTGATTTATAAAGTGCAGTATTTAGTGGTGGTAAGATAAACGTTATTTACTCGACGATTATAGTTTAAAAGTCAAGATGTATCACTCATTTTTTGTATTTCAACTGGTTAACTGGTATTCTATTTAAGTGTTGCAAAGTATGTCAGAAAATAGGGCTTCCTCTGCCCCCCCTAATGATTTATATCGTAGGATTTCCCCTTTTTTCCTCTTTAAAAAGCTCCCCCAAAACTTGTTGTCATGTCACAACAAAATTGCTGAATAGTTTACACTTACAGTATATAATCATACATTTTTAGCAGTAGATAATATCCTATTTTAACATCCGAAACTTTATTTTATTACCAATGAAGTCCAAGTTTTACTTAACTTTGGAATCCGAAATATTAATATTACTTTACTTTGGATTGACGGTATTGGCAGTGTATAAATACTGCTGTTATATTTCATTTTCATCTTTTCCACGTTTTACAATGTAGAGTCAAATGGCTTCAAATCCGTCGACAATAAAATCTCACGGCTACCGCCTGAGACTAAGACTTGATCCAGTGTGCGCGTTTTTTCTACTAGAAACAGTGCGATAGAAACGCGCCATGGTATCTATTACATCAATCCAGCCTGCTGCATCATTCCTTATTCAGTCAGTTGGTTGTAGGGCCGAATAAGGAGCGTTTTTTTCATCAAATTTCATTGCTTCTAGAGCGGTGGCGGGATGTATTGCCTGGTCATTAGTCAAATGATTTTTAATTCGCTATAACACGAAAATTACCACATTTTGTAAAGGCTAACTGCTTAAAAAAACAACTATAAGATGAAGCTTGCTTAAAATCGATTCCATCTCTATAATTAAAAACGACAAGTAAGACAAAACGATATAACATGTAAATTGCCGTTAAAACAGAATAATACACGAGCAGCATACACTAATCTGCCCAGTTACTTTTCCTCCACCTCTTCCCGTCCACAGCTATTGCTAAGTAAATTTAGTAAATTTTAGCTAATCGTACTTTTTGATATAGATCTGTTCTGACATGTTACACAACATTCATAACCAAATTGATCGAAAATTATGCTTTTTAAATTCCATTATTTAGTAGAAGTAATTCTAAAGGAAGACCCGACGTCGATAACTTATCGTTTTCATTCTATTCTTTGAAGCTTTGTTGTGTTCCCATTGCGGCAAATGCCCTTATTTTTAAACCATTTTCTAGTAGTTTTAATCTGGTTACAACCTGCCATACGTCATATTAGAAAGCTAGAAAAGCTAAGGAAGGTTGTAGACGCTAAGGAAGTTGTGAAGTGGCCAGTGCAAATTAGTATAAAGTACCTGATATCATATATCTCTCTCTCCCGATACCAGGCGTCAAAACAGAGAGCGCTAATAGAACCAATCGAGAAATCTGCACAGATTAGAAAGCTAGAGAATAGTAATCATTACAGTGTCATGTCACTTTCTCAGAACCAGCGACCAATAGGCACCATTGGCACAATATGAACAACCTCCATATCTTTATTTATGCCATCTTTACCCTTCACAAAATTTCCATTAAAGTACAGTGCAAGTATTTTGTAATAGCAACATACCCATTTAACAATTAAAAGAGATACATCAGTTGTGACCATTAACCCATGGCCCCAACATCAATAACCCTGTGTCTGTAGATATGAAAGCTGAGTGGAAGATAGTAGGAACTAAGGAGTTGAACTACAGGTGTACATTGAGTATGCCAGTGCATCCTTACCTACCAGCCATCTCTGATCCTGCTCCTCCTGCTTTTTGTCATTAATTTTAACCCGTCGTCATTCTAGCGCTGTGAAATTAGCTCCGTTTTCACTGATCTCAGTAAGTCGTCTGAGTTTCAATTTATTACGATGTTACCAGTCCAACGCACATTCGTGTTATTATATCGTCCAGCTGGATTATCGCCGGAGAAACTATGAACAAACTTTAGGCTTTAACACCGTTTGTGTTACTTTAATTTACTTCGAGCAGCCGTTATTGTGCACTGAATCATTTTCTAATCGGTCATTTAACAGCTCAATCCTCTTACCCAGTGACCATACCTTTGTGCCGGGTCTAAGTCCCTAATGTAGGATCATCCTTTCCCTGGTGGTCCCTAATTGATCACTCAACATTCTTAATCAGCTGTTCAGGCGTAACCCTAATGATCACGTCACATTCTTAATCAGCTGTCAGGCGTACCCTGTTCCTTTTTAGTTGTGTGTTTGGACTCACGGGGAGTTGGGTTTTAAAACCAGGCTGGTGAACTGAAATCTAACTCAAGATCTGGAGTCTAATATGAGATTCCAATGTTGCAACTTAGATAGTTCGTGCATTAGAGCACGACAGGGGCTTAAATAAAAACGTAACTCAATTAACTGGATTCCAGGACCGAGATGCAAATTCCTATAATTTCACGAGTTTCAGCTTCATTCCACGGTCGCAAATTTACCTCAGAATTCCTTTTTCACTTTGGAATCGCCGTTTGCTAAAAGTTTTCGGAAATTGCTCGTTTGTACTTAAATTCACTTTTCGTTAGCGATAGCGTTTGTTCGTTATTAACATCATTTGTGAATTTGCTAAACATTACACGTGTCCGGTGAATAACAATTTATAATAAACTCCAGAAATAAAGGTTAAGTAAAATTCACCCACGCGGACGTAAACACAGGTCAGCGAGGAGCCCAAGTTAGTGCAGACAAGCTGCTGACTGATTCGTTGTCTGGTAAATAATAATAATACAAGTGCTATACAACAACAATAAGTTCAGTATTGCTAATGATAATTATATAACCATGGGTATCCCAACTTCTCATCATGAACAAAAATCGATCATTCGACTAGTCTAGAGTATGGGTCTAGAGTGACACAATTTGTCAGTATTCGTATCTTTCAGTAGTTGTCGGTAGTGCAAGTATCAGTAATGTGGGTATTTGTCAGTAATTTGTCATATTGGTCAGTAGTGGTCAGTATCTACGTGTAATGGTCTTAGTGCTGTCTCAAAATCTCAACTGTTAGTTTGATTAACTGTATACGAATTCTAGGAATCCCAGCCCATTACCATACAGTGACGATAACAATTAATCCAGATTTCTGTACTAGTATTCCGAACCCGACTGACCCATTGACAGAAATAAAAGAGGCTGACACAGCCTCTATTTGGTATGATAATATTTGTTTTACCTTGTTCCTACATTCCACTATCTAAATTGTCTTGGTCTTGGTAAACGAACACGTGTCAATGAAAGATAAACATCCGCACCAAGAACGCTTACTTCCTCTCCCGTCATACTACATATAATTATTAGGAAATTGTGAAGTTGGTTTGTAACTGACACGGCTGGATTTATTGAAATTAGTAATTTGTATCCGAAGACAAGTCTGAATGTTGACTACAAAAATATAATCAGAAAATTAGGTTTTTGTTGGTTGTGTCTGTGAGGCTGTGTGATGTGTCTGTGAGGCTGTGTCTGTGAGGATATAGCCAGATCACCAACTGGTACTGGATATATTCATCTTCTAGACAGCTTAACAGGTTGTCACAACATTGATCTTTGTTTTTTAATGAATACTGGATTTGTTTAGCTGTACTGTATTTGGTATTCATTTCCATTATTCTGTATTTCTTAGAATTTGTACTCGGTCATATTACACGCATCACATAAGAGAGTTGAATAGTTCACTTTGTAGTTCTCCTTTGTAACTTATGCAGGGCATATTCAAGGCGGGCAATTTTAGTCAACATAATATCTGTACCTCTGCATTATGACTTGGAAAAGTTTGTGTTAATTTGGTTCTTTAATTTAAAATCTCTGGTGAAACAAGATGACCACAAAACAAACAACAGACAAACAACCAACAAACATACTTACGTTGACATATTCGTGTTGCGTGTGTTCCAAACTCTCCAACTTAGGAGTCACGTAAGCTGTGATGTTAGTTCCCACAGGAATGGTATCAACTATTCCATTGCTGTTAGCTTGTACTAGGTAACACTCTTTTCCGCTGTATGTGGAACTGTCGATTGAGATGGTGAGCTCTCCAACCTCCTGAAACAGTTTTACATTTACACCAGTGAAACGAAGAGAAACGTTAAATGATTTTCAAGGTTGAGTTGGTTAGTATGTAGAATACAATTTTTTCTGTTCCTTCAAAGAGGAGCCGTCAGAAAAGCGGTGGAAAGGCCTGCGCTGTTCATCATTCCAACATTGCAATTGAGTTTATGTGAGTGTTCAAGTGACGTAGCTCTAATTACAGCAGCCTATTTTCTACAATCGTACTGAAGAGTGAGAAAACTAATGGCAGGTGATAATAACCATGAAATAATGTGACGACGTTAAAATAGTCTACATATCCTAATAGTATAAAGTTTGCTAGGGCACCCAGAGGCGTTGAAGGTCCCCAAAAACGTCATAATACACACTCTATTAAAATAACCGATATTCCCTCGCGAGTAATTTTATGGTCATTAACATAACCTTTCCTGCCCAGTATAGTCGCACTGCCCTCTGTGTCCTGGTATAAGTTTTAGTGGCGCGTGTAATATTATTCTCGTGATGAAGGTCGCATATTTCCAGGTAATTGTTTGAATATATTTGAGTCTGTGAACAACAAAGCTAGACGCTACTCTTTTCATTGTTCTTCCAGTACCATTTCCATGTACTGTATACAATTTGCCTTGTATTGACTCTAGACCCTTTGTCAGGATGAGAACGGGCCGATTTTTATTTTACTAATATTCAGATGGCGAGGATTTCTTTTGGAGACTTTATTTGTAGAAGATATTTCAGTTTTTTTATTAGATACTACGTCATCACCTCCACGTAGTCAAGTCAAGTTTCTGCGCGGTTTATTTTTCAAAGAACGTCTGCAGAAATGAAACAGTAATCACATGAGATTGTATCGTGCACTGGTCGAACTGTAACCGGTAGTGACTTTTATTATACGCTTTGATAGAGCACACGGTTTCACTGATTACGAGTCGTTAGCGTGCCCTACTTTCTACTCACAGCTGTTGCCAAGGGCAATGTTTGCAGTGAGGAGGCTTTTATTTCGTTTTGTGTTTCTACGGTCCTTCGGTTTTAAAGTTCATTAAAATCTGTGATTTTCAGTTACCTAGTTTTTCAAATAGTTGCCCAGCTTTATTTCCTGACTTTGAAATCGGAGCTGCACACTTATCTTATTACCTGAGTTTCATTAAATTATAGATTGAATAACCGATCATTTTGGTATTTTACAGTTCCAGTTTTCGCTTTTAAGTTGTATTTGAATTTCGATGTACTCAACTTTAATTGATATGTTTTCGCATATAACCTAATTATTTTGCTTGAAACGTTGGATAAAAGAATGCCGTACTTCTAAGTTTTAGTCAAGACGGTGAAAGAAAACAAACAGTTCATATGCAAATGTGTGAAAAATCAAATCAGTAAAATCTTCTGGAGTAGACCGAATCTCAATAATATCTGAAAATACACTAATGATAAAACTAAAATAAAAAACAGCACAATAGGATACGTTTATTCCATAAGTGTTTCATATCATAATGTTTAAAACAAAGGTATAGATGTAACTCAAATTCACTGATCGCAGAGAGAGAGTTTACATTTTACAAGTCCAACTACTTCCCTACTAAATTAAAATAAAGCTAGTTTTCGTGCACCCAACATAAACTTATCTGGATCTAAAACAAAATAAACTGTTACAGCATTTAAAAGGCTCAGTAAAACAGATTCAGGAGCTGAATTATGTCCGAAATACGTTCAAGAAAACATCGCTGACAATTTTTAAGAATTTGTGGGTTTTTAGATCAGGTCCCAGCACACATCGTAGTATCTCTTCATCCGAGTGAGATAGATCTGCACCACCAAGGTGAAGATTACCAAGTATATTCTCCGTCCTTCCTCTAGAGTGTCCCCACACGTCCTCAGACATTTACCTACACCCCCTCCCCTGACCTTCCTGGCGGGTCTCGCAACATCCTTCCGTACCCACCAACCAGATCTAGACTAACTCTGCCGCCGAGGTGGGAGCCAGCATCTGAGGGATTGGGAGTTTGTTCTCTTCACTGTTACACCGCCAGGGGACTAGCACTTTTGGTGAAGGACACTGCGAGTCTGAGTATATCCCGTTCGGTCTAGTTGAGACATGGTTTCCAGGATGTTGTTAACGGTAAAGTGAGATGAAACAATTGTTTTCAAATAGCGAGAACTGAGGGACAGGGGTTGGTGAAATGTCTTTTTTATACTCATCGTGAGTATCACAGATAGCAGGTGATATTGAAAGATGATTCAACATCTCGCATTTCATACTGTCCATATCAGTAGTAACATCTGAAACACAAACTCAGATCTAAGAAACGAGAGTATCTAGAGATAAACCCACGTCTTTTGTACTGAACACAGTTTTAATTCACCATCATCAAGATGAAGTCTCTCTAATTACACCAGCTTTCTAGATCTAGAGTAACACCATTAATACAGGACCCCTAGAGCCCTCCTCCTCCGCAAACTGCCGCCACTTCTCAACAATCCCACATACCTCCTGAACCCCCTAAATCTACACAAATACACAACCGGGTTAACGGCCGCGTTAAACCCACATTATCACACAAACACAAAACACAGTCAGAAGTTTTTTTTTTTTTTTTTTTTTTTTTTTTTTTTTTTTTTTTTTTTTTTTTTTTTTTTTTTTTTTTTTTTTTTTTTTTTTTTTTTTTTTTTTTTTTTTTATTTTTTTTTTTTTTTTTTTTTTTTTTATTTTTTTTTACTGAAGATGTCCACCAACCCCACTAAAACATGACACTGTAAACCACCACGGGGTAGGTTCAGTACCAGATACCACTGCCGTGATGATGTACATGTTAGTTAGGAACCTCCACTCCTCCCCCTCCTCTATCTGCATACTCTGCTGAGAGTGAGGGTTATGAGCTCCCGGACTGACAGCACACAACTACACATGATGGGGAGAAGGTGGAGAGGTTTGAGGAGGATGAAGACGGAGGTGAAGATGAGGAGGTAGTGGTGAGGAGGTATGTCCCAGCCACAGAACACCAGAGATCTAGAGTAGGTGTAGGTATCATGGTGCCAGTAAGGGAGGGAGGCGATGAGGAGGAGGAGGGTGGTGTAGAGTAAATAGGGTCATGTGTAACGTTTCCTCGCCTGGAGAAGGAGAGAAAGGGAGATTGTGCGACTGATACTGAGAACTGCCACCAGGAACACACTGAGTCTAGCAGATATAAAGAAGAAGACCCCCCACAAGTTACATATAACAGGGTAGGAGAGGACTAGAGGGGCCCGGTGTAGGAAGTGGGACAAACCCGGCCAGAAATCAGGAACACCGATACCAGGTCCACTGTGACAATGCTGAGGAAGAGGAAGTTGGAGGTGGTTTCTCTTCCGAGAGGTGAAGTAGCCCAGAGCAAGGATGTTTCCTAGAGTTCCAAGATGAAGCAGCGTGATTTAGAATCACCCAATACCCACATCACATCATTGCGTACAGGGGGCTGAAGGTGGAACTGGTGGTGGGAAGTGTAAACTCATTGAGGAGTCAGGCAGATGAAGATGGTTATACTGATATGGTATAACTTGATCTTTTGTGGAAGGTGGACGAAAGTGAACGGCTTGAGACATTATTATGTGATTGAGTATTGTTTGAATGAAAACACTACATAGCCAGGCAATTGGATATACTGATCATAAGTAAGGCCAAGAATAAGTTTTCTTGTCAATTACCCCCAATACTTATCTTTTTATTTAGCAGATTACATGTTTGTCAGCTGCGAAGAGGTCATTCATATTCGACTTGCGATACAAGAGTATTATAATGTTAATATTGTGTATAGCATAGTGGACAGGGCGACAGCTTAAATATTCATCATACGTTATGTCGTCAATAAAAAATTATTATAATTATAACCCAAATTTATGGTCATCAATACTTGTTATGACATCAAGACAAAGCATAAATGTTACGACACTCACTATAATTAATGAAAGGCAGTATACAGATTTTACAAGTATTCCATAGACGTCACCAACTCAATCCAATAGAGCCAATGGCATTATCAGATATGACGTTAACGAAACCATACAATGAATCAAATCCATATAATTTTATATAATAAAATATACCCAAGAGTTTTAATTGATCCAACAGACGTATTCCAGAAGATTATAATGTACAGAAGGGAACTACACGGTACCTACAGTACCCAGTACCTGGTACCCATAGTGCTGCACTCTGAGTATGACAATATGTGCGCGACCAGTTAACCATCATTGACAGTTTACCTAGTTTATATTGACTGGTTGAACTGATTGTGCCATCTCTCCTCCAAAATTTTCCCTCAACCGTTTCTTGATTTGTCATTTGTTTCATTTCCACAGACATTCGATTGGCGAGACTAGAGGCATATTTTTGGAATTAACAAAAGTATTTACATGTTTAAATTAGTGGGCACAACTGCACTTTGGAACAATGGATTTTGCTAATTACTGTCGCCCAATTTTACTAAAAAAACAAAGAACCCAAATTGACAGAGACGATCATGTTTGTCTGATCTGCTGCCAAGAAAGATGAGGCCATAAATCCCTGCCTGAAAGGACATAATAACCGTGATCTATTAGTGAAACGATTACTGTATATGTAGGTACTATCAACCTGCTTTTAACTGAGCTCGAACTTTCACGCTGTTGCACACTCCGGTCATATCATACGATAATTTGCTGCTTTGATCTTGGGTTTGTGTTGTTCATTTTCAGATAAACAAAGTTCTTTCTGCACGCAAAATGAATAACGTAGAGAATGGCCTCAAAGTGTCCTTGATTTCATTGAAATAACAACATGAGCTGATTTACTAAAGGCATTTACACCATAGCTGTATTGTGGACCATTGAGTTAAAAATACCATTATAGCTAAATGATCCTTAAGGTAGAAACCTGTGTTTGCCTTTGAAAAACATTCCCACAGCCAGACAGCATATCCTACCACGCGTTACAAGAGTACACAAGACACGCTATACTGCCGTGTGATATATCATTATCATACATG